TGCAGAGATCCCATGTAGCCACCCTCTTGTTTTCTCATCTAAACCTCTCCACTGCTAAGGGGAAATTGCTGCATCAAAATTATCCAAAGAGATGGGTCTTCCAAGCTATCCTGCTGCCACAGTACCACTATTAGTATCCACTGTAATAAGAGATCGGCATCACTAATTGACAGAAAGGCAAGGATGCGGTCCATGTAAGAAGGAAAAACAATATCAGTTCTAGTTGAGCCAAGAAATAAACAAAACTAAAGACATGTATCAACTTACCCATCTACTCTAGCATTTTCCTCAATTACATCCAAGAATTCAGTGAGATGATAAATAGAATCCTTAACCATTAAAACGCGTAGAACAGTCTAGGAGGCATTTGCATCCAACTGTTCCATACTACTAAAGAAACAAATCAAAAGGTCGATTAAAAGCTAAGAAAGAAAAGTAGAGATGGCAGTCAAACAATGACAGTTAAAATGGGACAAACAACATACTTCGATACAAAGATACTGCTGAATAGAAGTTGGAGATGGAATCCTTAACAATCGAAACACACAGAAGAACAACCAGGTTACAATGGGTCATGAAATTCCATACTAACATCGAGGCAAAGTAAAAGGACGAGAACAAAAGGCTATGCGGAAAAAGCATAGACGAAAAACAAACAATGACTCCAGTTAAAATTGGATAGATAATGTGCAAAGACACTCCCGAATAGTTGTAATATCATCATTAGCGGCATTTTCCACCAAAGAACCATCTATATTTGTTCCAGTTCCAATTGAAGCAGAAAAACTCTAGTTCATCTGAAATAACCACAGGTGGCAGAAATTCCTCAGAAAAAGTCAACTACCTGTTAGAAAATAGAAAAAGTATGCAGTGGTGACTTCTACAATTCAAGTTCTTATTATAACCACCATCCATTCAATTAAATGCACAATGCAGAAGTTACCAGTGAAGAGCTTGACAGAAAACTACAAATGAGTGCCAATACTAAAACAAATGAAAGAAGAAATCAACAAAAACATGGAAAATGAAGACAATATACATGAAAGGTATCCCATCTGACATAGCAAAAATTTACTAGTCTAAACGAGATACAATAGCAACAAGCAAACTCGCAAAGAATTACCCCAAATCACATATTTCATCTAACAGTATGTAGAACTCGAAGCGAGACCAGAATCTCAGCAATGCAAAGAAGCAATAGTAGTTGACATGAGTAAAAGGACAGGGAAGAAAATATGAACACATTGAGAGGGGGCAAGAAAACATTGAACAAATAGACATTACTCATCAAACCAAGTTTCTTTCTCTTTTTTTTTACTAATTCGAATATAAAAGTCTTGTATCTAACATCACTGACCACTCAAACCTCATTCAATATCGAGACCATACATAACCCCAGCATATCTCTCAATTGACCCATCAAAGTACTTGTCCGTCAACTTCCTAAATGTCTGTGCAGTAAGCAAACTATCTGAGCCAGCCTGATGGCAGATTCCAACCCTGTCAACCTCCAACTGCTCGGCAACCTTGTTAAGCCCCCCATGAAGGCTGTTTGAAAACCTCATCAGGTGCTTAATGTCATACACAACCGGGAAGAAAGTCCTGGCGAGCTCAAAGAACCCCTCCCGGTTGTCAGGTAGCCTTCTGCAAGTCAGGATTTTTAGGAGGTACCCGAAGTCGTAAGCACAATGGAAGGTCACCCAGCGGACGGAATCATTGAGAACGACGCCCGACGACATTAAGAGCTCGGCAAAGTGGTTTGCATCGACCCCGTGCTCCCGATTCCTGGCGAAATCAATGCCGGACTTCTGAAGGAGGTCGATGGAGTCAGGGTTGCTGATGTCGCCGTCAACGTCGAACTCCCTGAAGTTGAACTGCCACACGATGGGGCGCGCGCTATCGGGCGAGGCTGGGAAGTTCCCATCGGCGTCCGAGAAGGTGAGCCCGAGCTGGATGAGGTGGAGGAGGTCGACGTTGGCACGGAGGATGTGGTAGTTGCTGTCGGCGACGGTCTTGAAGTCGCCGAGGGGACGGATGGCGACGCCGGGGAACTCTGTGTCCATGGCGACGAAGGGGAAGTCGTCGACGACTTCCCGGATCACGGCAAACTCGGCCTCGAGGTTTTCGGCCCAGACGTCGCGGATCTCGACGGCAGCGGCTTCGGCGGTCTTCGCCATAAGACAGGACGCAGATCGAAACCTAGAATCGAAGAAGTGGCCAAGGGAAACCAGATCTGATCGTAGATCGACCGAATCGGAATCGGTATCGGAAAATAGGGGGATGCGGGAGAATTAGGGCTCGTGGGCCCGATCGAGAGCGGAGAAGGGGAAAGACGGAAAAGGAACGACCTTTTTGTCCCTTCAGCATTCAAGAGAGAGAAACGCTTCAGGGTCAGAGGGCGATGAGGCCACCACCCTCTGCACTTCACACTGATCTTGGAAACACCATGGTTTGACTTTATAGAGGAGGAAGGCGAAGGAGGAATGAGCGTGCCGTGTTCCGCTGGAACAGGTTAAATGATGGGAGCCGACATTATTACTTTTCCACCGAACATTCTTTACCCACTGGCAGCCCAGCCTATGACTGGAACAAACCTCGGGCCCCGGTGGGTCGGACGTGGAGAAAGAAGGAGGTCAGTAGATAAAAGCATCGTCGTTCGTGACCGATACTTTCCCTAATTGTTTGTCGTCTACCCGTCGGACCCCATCTGTGAGCCTCATCCGCGGAATACGACGAGAGCCGCGGGGCCCACTAGGAAAACAACAGGGGTGCGTGTAAGACGCGTGTGATTTGTGCGTGGCGGAGGGGGTTGAAGGCACCCTTTGGGCCCGAACCTGCACGTGGATTTAAAGCTGAGATCCACAGGCCAATAATATTAGGCAAGCCTTAAGAATGAGATCTAAGGATTAAACTCACTACTCATCTGTGCCTTTGGTATGAGACAATTGATGTGGTGCAAATATTGACATCATAGAAATCTCTCTCTCTCTCTCTCTCTCTGCCTTAAGAATGAGATCTAATTAAACCCACAATTGATGTGGTGCAAATGTTGACATCACAGAAATCTCTCTCTCTCTCTCTCTCTCTCTGCCACTGGTCAAATCTCTTGTCTGGTTACTGAATAGATATGTGACTAGAAATTATTTATTACTAGTATATGTTGAAAAAAAATCTTTGTTATTTTTCTTATTTGAAAAGTTAGATATGGTACACATTTTTATAACTTGATGTGGAACACATCTCATTCATTATTATTTATTTCATGTTCTTAAAAACCCTGATAAGTGTTGAATATATTTAGTTATTAATTAAAGATAAAACTAATATAAATATATTTTCTCATGATAATTAAGATTCTTTCTCATCTCTTATATAAACTTGGACAGACATTTTCTCTCTTTTTCATCTTGTATAAACTCAAAACTACGATAGAATAGCACAAAAGAGAAATAGATAAATGTCATCACCTTTCGATGATATTCCAAATACGGATGAAAAATTATTAAGTTTTATTTTCACCCCTATTTATGATTATGCTTTGGAGTTTTCCTTCAAATTTTTTATTTTTCTTCGTAAGCGATTTCATCCTAAAGGAAGAAATGATTTATATTGAGTCATTTAAATTCTTTAAAGACAAAAAGAGTTATCATTTGTTCAGAAAAGAAAAGAATTTTTTTAGCACAAATAGAATGTTTGATGATGCAAAGGATTTTACAACTCATACTACTAATCACTTTAGGTTTAGAGAATATTTCAGCCGACAAGCTTCATCTTATTTTCATTACGGTCTATAATCCAAAAAAAAAGGCTAAAAATTCGAACTAGAGAACCTTATCAAAGATTTAGTTATCCACTTAAATATAAGTGAGAATAGAATTGATAATCTGAGAATTAAATCTGTATATCACTTTGAATCTTAAAAAGGGTTATCATAACTCAAAAATTTTTAAAAACTCAGGTAATCTTCTTATAAATAGAAAATGTTACTAAATTATTTTATAAGTCAAGTTCCCTCTCTAATGCTTAATGAGTGATAAATAAATTATCTTTGTTGAGATATTTAAATTGGTCTGTGTAGTATTGCATAATTAATAAATCTCATATTTTATTTTTTTTTCTGTTATACAGCTAATGATGTTAAGAAAAATCCCTCATCCTTCTTTCCCCTTTCACAACTCACAAGTGTAAGGGGAGAAAAAGGATAAGCCTAGCAACGATAAGAGAAAGAAGAATGAGGATCAAGGAAGAATAATGAGCACCACCCTTCATCGCATCGTTATCAATACCGATTCGGTAACGAAAAGAGAAAGAAGAATGAAGGATCAAGGAAGAATAATGAGCACCACCCTTCATCACATCGTTGTCGACATTGTTGTCGAATAATGAGCGACACCAATGTAAATGCAAAACATTGACATCTATATCATCCTCTTCCTTCTTCAGCATTCTCATCAACCACTGTATCATTCTTACCAATCACAACAATCATCCATGACACCTAATAACACCATAGGTTAAATTTATTTTTTTACCCATCATTTCCATACCAAAAATGATATAAAGATAAATAAAATTAAATATTTCACTTTTAGAAATCTCAATATTAATCTTTAAATCTAAAAACTAATTTACTAAAATATGTAACTACACAAAATAATATGTAATTAACACTAATTTGGTGCTTACACCCTTTATCACAAATCGCATATTGGACAATTAAGACCATAACTGGATCAAATGAATGTAGATCCACAGGATCTGATTGTCCAATAAATAACAGCAGATAAACAATACTGAAGCAAAGCCCCTAAGGTTATGATCAGGTCGGATCCGATAGTTTTAGGATCCGACAAGCAGGGGTTGTTCATAGGCCAACATAGAAGACTTGCTAGTGATGACCACAAACAAGAGAAGTAGGCTAACAAGCTCATGATTTATCCTCATATTTGTCAAAACATACAACTAGGATTTCATAATATTGGATTAGAATACTAGTTAGATAAATCAAACAAAAAACATTAAGAATTCTAATAAAACATAACAACATCCTGCTCACCAACGTAACGGTATCAGTTTTAGAGTACCTCAATATTAATAACAGTAATATCAAATCCTTACCACGAAGAACTCTAGCAAACATCAGCTAGTTAGTGACCAACTCAGACTAACATCGATACAGAAAATTTTCATGGAACAAATACAACACAGTCCAAAACATCTGCATAGATCTCAAGAACCAAGACATTACACAATAGCATTTGCTGCACTAGCAATCCTTGGCCACAGGTCCGCACACTCCTTTCCGATAGGTCCTGTGATAGCAGATCCTGCAACAATTTGTTACAGACAAGTAGCAAGATTTTATGATGTCCCAGTCCAAGAAACAAACAACAAATAAGAAAGACCCTGAAGCATCTACAGGTTTGAGGCAATATTAAAGGTTTGCACAAGATTTCTCATGCTTTACGCTTTACGGTATATGTTCTATGGCTTTACACCTCTTTGAAGCTAAGTGCATAAGACTTCTCATGCTTTTAAGTGAAAAGATACTTAGTCCTTCGTACCTTTCATTTCTCCTTTCGGGTTGACAATAACTCCAGCATTATCTGTATGTTTTGAAAGGCTAAAGCATTAGATGCATGAAAGTTACACTAACATAAAAAGTAGACATGTATCAAAAGGCATCTAAGGAATCCACTAAATGTTAATGCAGAAACAGAAAAATCTAATTATGGCATAAATAGGTTAAAATTTTATAAAATAAAATAATAAATTTTATAAAACAAGAACCCAAGGCACCCGAAAACTATCCTAAGCATATTCCTCACCACCATACAGGCATTCATCTAAGAAACCACCCAAGATGCAACTAGTCTACAACTCTCCTAGGAACCAAATCTTGGATAATCGAGAAAATGTCCCAATAGCATGGAAAGAAATCAGGATAACTAAAAATGTCAGAAAGGTTAAAGTCAATAGAAAATCAAAGGAATTAGAAATTTTGATCAAACTGCAAACAGCTTGAAAGAATTAAAAGTTTAGTGTTTTTTGAATTATAAATAACAAACTCCAAAAGGGGCTATTTATAGCTTTTTTTCCATCAATCAAATGTTGCTGCATAGCAACATGCAAATGCACTGGTGGCACGTCAACATGAGCTATGCATGTGCATTGAAACAAACACTCCTTGAAATGCATGGCACAGCATGATGAGATGAAAACATGCCACATGAGAGATGTGCACATGTCACATGAGACATGACCAGAGGGTGATGAGAGAGAAAAGGTAAAAACATAAAGGAGTCATTTTGGTTTTCTTTACCAACTCTAATAATCCCGTATAAAAATATATTTTTTAAAAATAAATAAGCAACAATAAAAAATAAACAAGTGAATTAGCATAAACAAGAAACCAAATAGGCATGGAAACCAAATTTATTATGGTTGTTTATTTTTTGAATAAAAATTCCATGTTTAATGGGGGTTTTGTTAGAGCTCTTAAAGAAAATCCAAAATTACCCTTTTGCTCGTTTACCCTTTATCTACTCATAATTGTGCATCGATCTCTCACGTTATATGCATACATCACAACTTATTGCTCTTACATTACATTGCATGCAATGCATGACCCAAGACAGGACACCCAACGCTCATAGCACTCACGACATGGTTCACTATTGTGCGTCCATTCACGAATCACTTGATTGTAGCAACCTCTATTGATAAAAAAAATGCTATAAATAGCCTCTTCCACAATCTATTATTTTCAATTTAAAGAAAAACCAACTTCCATTCTTACAAGTTGAATTAACTTTCAATCAAAGCTTTATATTCCTATGAATTTTCAACAACTTACATCTTTTCAACAACTTCCATTTTTCCAATAATCTCTCCACTGTTTTCACTAGTGTCCTTGATTCTCCATGATCATATACACTGGAGAGTCCAAGACTGGTTGTATCTCAGGTGGCTTTCTCGACCAACACTTGCACATGATCGAAGGATATGCCTAGGACAATGTTCAGTCACCTCCAAGGTTTTCTATTAATTCCCAAATTTCAATTTACAATATTTTAATAATTTTCCTTTAATTGAGGGTTAAATTTTTTCTTCCTATATCAACAATAAGTACTTGCCTTGCAACAACTATAAATATATACAACCACAACATCATGTTGTGTAAACACAGATTATTGTACGTGCAAATACATCACACAAATTGTAGAAAATGATTTGGCAACACCATATAAGCAAAATACTAAATAGCTTATCACTTAAAGCAACTGATCTACATAAATAATGTTAGCAACTAACACAACAATGATCAAAATATTCAAAATACTTAGAAGTTACAAATAATCATCCAAGGAATGGAAGGACAAAGTATCAGCACAAAAATCAAACTGCATAGAATTACAATCAACACTAGGAACCAAAAAGAAAAAGTGGACACCAACAACAACTACCTAAATTTTAGCACCAGAAATGGATCAGACACCTACTGTCGAAGACCACTAAAGTTGTTCAACACAAGGATGTCCAAATCACCCTAAACAGACAGCTCTTGTATGCTCATCAAGTTAAAATCTTTTAAGTTGGGCAAATCCTCAATATTCTGAAGCACTAAGATTTTCAGCTTGATAACTTGTTTCAGATCCAAGAATCAAAGAGCAATATAGCAAGGTTCTTGCACTTTTTGTTTTCAACCATATTAAGTGTCACAAAAAAAAAATACATGCAATTAATGGAGGCAGTTTCATCGCAAGATATTACCAACTCTCTTTCTCCAGAGATAAGAAGATCACTAAATATTTGCTTATTTAGGTTGGTTAGGTTTTGGAAACGGACATAATTTACCAGTGATCTCAAATTTACAGCATTGTTCATGTACAAAATAAACTTTTGCGGTACACCAACTCGTTCCATGTTATCAAACATCTACATCAACCCATTGCAAGAGAATAGTTTCAATGGATATAAAAAGAGCAATTCAACGGAAACAGCTCAAAGTAATCCAGCCTACTAGACGTAATCATAAGACACTCTCATTATATTCACAACATTAGCAGCAAAGATAAAGGTAATTTAAAGAGTAAACATTAAAAGACTTGCAAACAAAACAATCTGCAAGCCGTAACGAAGAACGTTAGAGGAAAAGAAGCTTGCAAACGGGAAGCAACCAACACACCTTCAAAGTACATGTAGACGCCATCCTTGCGGCGCCAGGGCTTGCGCTGGCGAACAATGACGGCGGGCATGACCTTCTTCCGGAGATCGGGCTTCCCCTTCTTAACGGTGGCCATGACCATGTCCCCGACGCAGGCCGAGGGCAGGCGGTTGAGGCGGCCCTTGATCCCTTTGACGGAGATGATGTATAGGTTCTTCGCGCCCGTGTTGTCCGCGCAGTTCACCGTCGCTGCCACCGGCAGACCAAGTGACATCCGGAACTTGTTACCCGCCGTCCCTCCGCGCCCTGCCAACCTCGTTTCAACAAATCCCACTCAAACAACGCACACGAAGACCCCAACTCTCCGATCTCGAAGGGATTAATGATAGATCTAGCGATAGAGATGGAGCGTTTACCTCGCTTCGACATCTTGGAGGAGCTCGATCTGCCCCTAGACGCGACCACGGATGAGAGGCGATAGCCTCGAATGCTTTCGGCTTTTATACCTGCGGGAAAGCATTCAGTTTAGGGTTTTGGTGATCCGATTTGACGAGAATGCCCTTCTAGGTGAAGTTAGTGGCCGGTGGGCTTTCAATTTACATGAGATTTCAATTCATATATATATATATATATATATATATATATATA